GGATTAAGCCGTCGACAACTAAAAAGTGTAAATATGACAACAACAGCTTTGGTATGTACATAAAATGGTATATGAACTTTGGTCCGAAGTATGTCTTTTGGGTACGAAGAGATGTGTCAGAACGACGAGTTGAGTTGATTTAGAAATACCCATTCGCACGTCAGATTTTTCAGATTTGAGATTTTGTGTCGCACATTTGTCAAAAAAAAAAAAAAATAATAATTTAAGAGTGTGAAATTTGGTAATCTGAAATTATTGGGGGTCTCACATTAGCATCTAAACAAAAATATTTTTAGTGAAAATCAGCAAAAACGGAGAACTTCATCACATATCCCCTCTCCAATCAATTTTGTGGCAGTGTCGTAAAGCGTTGCGCGTTATTAATAATTAATTCATTTGCTTGCAATTAATTTTTGAAATTGTTGTCTGCGGTGCCGACTCAGTATTATTAAGATATACATATGTACTTGCTTTAGTTTGAGAATTTATTTATTAATTTAAACTAAAAATTGACTATTTTTTGCTTTTGAACTTTTAGACGATTTCAATTCAATTTAAAAAGCACTTTCTATGGGCAAAAAAAAAAAATTAATGAAATATATAAAGGTGTACATAAGTAAAATATTATAATTAACAATTGTCACTGGAGAACGAATATGAATGTCCTCGGCACACTGCATCAAATATTTAGCTAGAACTAGATTTCAAAAAAAAAAAAAAAAGAAAGCAGTTTTTGTGTAATTTTAAGGCCAAGTAAAATTTGGTTGTTGTATTGTCTTTCTTTTCCATTCTCCAATATATACATACGTCTATAAGTATATATGAATATGTTAATAGAAATACTTTATTATATATTAGGTATTATTTGTGTAGAGACAGACTCGAAATTATTTTTTTTGTCGCTTTGTAGCTCCTTAAGCAATTTTTTCCCCAGCTCCTGCTCTAAAATGAGGTGCCTTTTTCTTCTTAATGTTTTTCCCACAAATGCAGTTATCTATAGAATTTTCTAAGGTTTTTATGAAGAGTTTTTTACTTCAGATCACAGGGACTCTTAATTGGAATCACTGCGACAGACATTTTGTATTGGGTTGCCCAAAAAGTAATTGCGGATTTTTTTTAAAGAAAGTAAATGCATTTTTAATAAAACTTAGAATGAACTTTAATCAAATATATAATTGCCATTTTGTTCGATAACCTTTTGCCATCTTCCTGGCAAATTTAGTATTCCACGCTCATAGATTTTCTGGCCTTTATCTGCAAAAAACTGAACCAAGTGCGATTTTATAGCCTCATCATTGCCGAAAGTTTTACCACTTAAGGAGTTTTGCAAAGATCGAAATAAATGGTAGTCTGATGGTACAAGGTCAGTGCTATATGGTGGATGCATCAAAAGTTCCCAGCCAAGCTCACTCAGTTTTTGGCTAGTAACCAAAGATGTGTGCGGTCTAGCGTTGTCCTGGTGAAATATGACACCTTTACGATTGACCAATTCTGGTCGATTCTCCTTGATGGCTGTATTCAATTTGTCCAATTGTTGACAGTAAACATCCGAATTAAGCGTTTGGTTTCTTGGAAGCAGCTCAAAATATACGACACCCTTCCAATCCCACCAAACAGACAGCATAACCTTCTTTAGGTGGATATCAGCCTTTGAAGTGATTTGAGCTGGTTCACCATGCTTGGACCATGATCGTTTTCGACTAACGGTGTTGTAAACAATCCATTTTTCATTTCCAGTTATGATTCGTTTTAAAAACGGATCGAATTCATTGCGTTTAAGGTGCATATCACAAGCGTTGATTCGGTGTGTTAAATGAATTTCTTTCAATACAAGTGGTACCCAAATATCAAGCTTTTTCACCAGCCCAAGACTTTTTATGTGATAATGAACGGTTGATTTTGGTATATTTAACTTCTCTCCTATCTCACGCTCAGTTACATGACGATCCAATTCGATTAATGCTTTGATTTGGTCATCATCAACTTCATTTGGCCGACCTGAACGTGGCTCATCTTTAAGTGAAAAATCTTCAGAACGGAATTTGCGAAACCAATTTTGACACTGTCTTCCTTTTAAGGCTTCATCACCATACACATCTCGTAACTTTTTAGCAACCTGCTCCGCGTTTTTTCCTTTACGGAAATAATAAAGTAAAATATGACGAAAATGCTCCTTTGTGGGCTCCATATTAAAATTGACGCCAAACAAACAAATGTAAACAAAATTTCGCGCACTTTTTTTCTAAAGCAAGCTAAAAGTAACAGCTGATAACTGACAGAAGAAATAATGCAATTGCAGAGTCACAATCCGTTGAAAAAATTTGTCAACGCCGACTATATGAAAAATCCGCAATTACTTTTTGGGCAACTCAATAAATTCGTTAAGTCAGAATTCATAGGTTCTAATTCTGACTTAACGAATTTACAAAATTTTAGAAAAAAATTGCATGGTAACACGCATTGGTGATCTATCGTCTACTGCAATATTAATTTCAAACTTATATACAAACTTTTAGCATAAATGTACGAAATATTAATTTTTTTATATTTGCAAAATAGTCCGTTTTCTGAAAAAGTGCTTTCCTGACTTAACAAAAAAAAGTACTTTCCTAAAGTCCATTTAAATGTTCAAGTGTTCAAATAAAGTAACAAAAATCAACCAAAATTTTACATATAAATTATTCTCAGAAATAATTGGAAAAATTTGCTTCCTTAGGGTAGGGCCTTCCAAAATCATAATTCTTAATTCTTTTTATTTACATATACGCTTTCCTAATGAATTTTTAAATACGTGTGTTTCCAAATATATTTTATAGACAATTTTATTCCGTGAAGTGCCTACGCATGACTATGCTCAGTCGGATATTTTTGCATTAAAAATGTGAGCTTCCGTAGTCTTTAGCGCTGAAACTTTATGTGTAAGGTGTGGGGAGTATTCCAAATAACTTTCATCAGATAAATAATAATATTGAATAATTTAACTATATACCTTTGCGCCTAACTGTAGGCAATAAGTTATTTGGAAATATTTTGTTATTTATGCTACTTTATGTCTATTGTCGCCTTAAACATAAATAATAAAATATTTAAAATTATATACATATATTATTGTCTTTTGCTTTTTAAAATTAAATTTTTTTTAAGCTTTTAAAAGTAAGTTAAGAAAAATTTCATATGGATGGTATTCGCAAAACATTACTTTAAGGGGCTTCATAGATGACACAGCTTTAAAAAATATTTTTTTTTATTATCTTATTATTTTCTAAAAATATTATACTAAATTTTCAACACTATCCGAATAAAAGTTTAAAAGATACAGACTTGGGAGTTACGCGCTCAAAGGCAGGTAAACACAGCGATTTAAGGGCAAGATGTTGAAAGGCAATTTTTCACCTTGAAACTGCTTCTTGTGAGATATCAAAGGAAGCGATATTTGTACTGGATCATGAATGGAGATAAAGAGTGGATTTATTACGATAACTTCAAGAAGATAAAATACTATGCGTAGCCTGGTGAAACGCTGCCACGAATGAAAGTATTGCTACAAAATGGAATGGTTGCCAATGTGATTTCGCAATATGGCAATGTTCGGGCGCAATTTTCAGCAACTTCTTCTCCCGACTATTGGCTTTTTCGACGAAGACAAAACGTTTTAGGCGTTCACCAGTTCAGGGTGTGTTGAATAATTAAAAAAAAGAATGAATGAATAGAGAGTATTAATTTTTTAGAGGCGGTATTCGAAAAATATCAGTGAGTTGATCAAAAGTAAACGCTTCCGACGGACAATACTTTGAATTATGTATTTTTTAATTTTTTTTTCTCAATAAAAAACACATTTTTGAGTAAAAAAAAACTCGTTATAATTTTGAGCATGCAATACAAAAATTTATTTTTTTTTTAATTTTATTTATTTTTGGGTGTTGATATTTGGTATTTTCCACTTTTTTGAAATCAATTTATTATTGTATATTTCCAATTCACTATTGATAAAATTAATGAAAAAATAACGAATAAAATTATATAAACTCCTGTTGGAGAAAGCATATATGCAGTATATATACATACATATATACAAATCTTTTTGAAATTTTTAAAAAATTCAATGTTATTCTTTATAATTTTTTTGAATTCAAAATTCTCACGGTTAAAATTTTGGCTCTTTTTTAATAATCGATTTGAAAAATGAAATGATTTAAAATACCGTTGAACATTGAGAACTCACAAATTTAATAGGAAAATTGCCATACTTTGAAAAGAGTTACTTTGTGAGAAAGAATTTTACTGTATATATGTACACACATATGTAAAAATGTAGAAAGCGAAGGAAGCGTGAGTATGTAAGTGTGTTTATAATGAAAATAAGAAAAGAAAATGCTGATGATTTGGATATTTCCAAGGGCTTCAGTTCAACGCACGACGTGCTGCAATCAACGGCAGTTGTAACACAAAAAAAAAAACCAAAAATATGAGAAATAAACAACAAATTTATTGAGTAAGAGTCAAAAAAAAAAAATGCATGAAAAATGCTATAACTGCATGCATTTGCATCACGATTTCCAAAAAAAAAAAATTAAAAAAAAAATAAAAAAAAATTGGAAAGAAATTATGCATAATTTCTACGCACGTCTTGGCGCTTATAAAAGCATTTCTGAGCGCTTGATTTTAAATATTTCAGGCCGAAAGACACAGCATGTTGCAAACTCACTTGTCAATAGCAGCCGTCGCCACAGTCTACAATATTACAAACCAAATAAAAATTTTATTTTGATTATATTACCAATATTCGATTGATTTGAGTGAAATGATACTTAGCTGAATGCTGCAATATTTCCAGACATGATACAACAAAAATGATTGAATTTGTTTTTTTTTTTTTAAATCATCTCTCTTTTGCAAAATCACGCTTTTTAAGTAGTGATAAAATTTTTTTAAATTTTTTTTTCATCCCAAAAATTATTTTTTTTTTTAATTTTTTTTACACCTTTGCCATAATAAATCACCTTTCCAATTCATTCGAATTTGTTTGGTTTTTCTTTGTATGTGTGTGTATGTGTTCAACACTTCCGTTTCCACTTAAGTTTTTGCTCACTTTTAACCGTTACGTTTACGCTTATTCAATACACCCGCTTAAATGTGCCGTTCAACATTTGACTTTGGTTGCTGCTTTGGCGCCACTTGTTGAGCGAATGCGTTGCGGCTTCGTTATTTACGCGCCTTTTATAAAGTGGCGAACGAACGCACAAAAAAATGAATAAATAATTCGTATGTTTGTGTACGTGTATGAATTTCCGCTACAGTAACAACAGCCCCTAAAAGAGATAGGCGGCAATCGCAGGCGAATTCCTCGTCATCAACAACATATGCACATACATACATATATACACGTACACATGAGCATATCGTTATCGTGCGCGCCACTGTCATCGTGTTGGAGTCGTTTTTCGTCCTATAGGCCGCTTACATGTACCAGCACGGCTAGCTGCGCGTATGTTTGTGTGTGCAGCCAAGTGGAGTTGCGAGCCGAGGCATTGACGATAAGAAATCCGTTGTTGGTCGGCGTTGTTGATAAGGCATTCACAGCAAATATATTGAATTGTTTTCTTCTAACGGTAAAATGTTCATTCTTTCAATGTTTTGGTTCATTTTGTGTGATTTGTCCGTGGCCTGTTAGCTTTCGCCATAAAAGCTCTGTAGCGTAAGCTTTGACAGCGCAAGTTGCTGCAACGTTTTCCTTTGTATTGGTGGGTTGGTGGGTGAAAAATTATCTTTTATGCATTTGGCAGTTAAAGTTAAATTCTCCTTTGAACATTCATACTTAGGAAATGCTTGATGATTTGTTGTTTTATTGCTTGTTTTCCCTTTTTTTGTAAGGGACGAAAAAGTTTCTAATAAATATGCACGAGGTGTGACAATTAAGTAATGAGACTGATTCCTGAAAAATCGCATATTTCGATTTTTTATTATACGACTCTGCCAACCCCTTCAAAGTGGTCGCCCTGGGCAACTATACAACGTTTACAGTGCGTTTTCCAGACTTCGTAGCATTTCTGGAATGCTTCGACTGGGATGTTCGCGAGTACCCTCGTCACGGCCGCCTAGATGTCCTCAAACGACTCAGAATGGGTTCCTTTGACCACCGATTTCATTCCGGGGAAAGAGTCACAGTCACGAGCCCTTTAGAGGCCAAATACCGGAACAAGCTGAGCACGGTATGACACGGCGTGTTGTCGCCATGAATGATCCAGTTACGAGCGATGTCTGGGCTCAACCTGTTGACTCGATTTCGCAGTCTTTCGAGTACTTGATGGTAGTCGATTTGGTTTACGGCTTACTCCGGTGGAAGAAATTTTTTGTGGACGATTCCACAGCAGCTCGACTGGTCTCCCACTCCACGTTTCTTCTTCCACGCTTTCACATACCTCCTTAAACTCTTTATGCCATGGAAACACCTGGGTACTACTGGGAGCACTATCACCATGCACTTTTACGATTTTAGCCTTAACCTTTCGGAAGCTGTTTCGCCCATTTTGGCGCCAAATCTTATCGCGACGCGTTGCTTTTGATTAAGTTTTTCCATTTTCGTGACGAGCACCACGAACACACGTTTACCCAATACGACCCAGCAGGCGAACTTAACAAGCTAGAGCGAAGGCAAATACATCAATGGCGAGGTGAGGAGAAGGATACCGGAAGAAGGGAGAGATAATTTCAAGGTCGCAGGGTTGCCACAATCGCGGCAATATAATCAGTCTCTTTACTTTATTGCCACACCTCGTATATACATATATGATATACAACATTTAAAAGTGGCTCTGGTGAAGATATTAAATTTGCCGGCTGATAAGAGCTACTGACATTTGTATGTATCTATGTTAAATTGAACTTTGACAAATTATTTGTGTGTGTGATTGCACATTTCTTCACCATGATTTTTGTGTGAATCACATTTTCGATGCTCTGAAAAATAAGTAGAGGCTCTTGATATGAAAAGATGGTTTTACACATCTGGTTTTCGTGTAGAAAATAAATCAAATATAATTTGACGCTATGCCCAAGAATCCGAGGCCAAGCAGAAACACACTCGGAGGGGTTGACAGTTCCTGCCGAGGAGCTTAATTAGAAAATTTAAATTAATTTTTATTTAAGTAACGTACCCATTCAACTAAAAGTGAGGCTCATCGCGAAACTAAATTTTCTAGTGAAAACTGGGAGTCGGTTTGGGCCCAGGTGCGACGCGCTTGAAATTCGTTCAGCTTCAATTTTTGCCCGAGCTCGATTTTAGGGGCCTGGAACTCAAGATCCTAAAGAAAAATCATACAAAAAGTGGTTGCATACAGCTCCAGTTGTTGTGTGTGATGACGGATTAACTCATTTGGGTCTTTTTCGATACTCTGCTCCATAGCAGTACTGTGCATTGGCAATGGCGAGTATTTTAGATAATGGTACGTTGAGTCAGTTGCCATTGACATTGTTCAGCGAAGTAAGAGAGAGCTGCCTTGGTTAGATCGTCCGAACAAAAATACTGCAGTTGTGAAGGTATTCAGTGCAGTACTCAGTGGCTGACGCAAAGGAAGGTGTACACTTAATCTCCGTTGAGAAGTTCAGGTGTGGAAGTACCTGGATTCAGATATATTCGTGGCAGTCAAGTCAAACTGAAGGAAAGTTCGCGGTACTGTTAGCTTTTTCACTTTCTGAAAGGATCCAGAAAATCTGAGATTGAGCAACATACAAACCTAAATCAAGCGATTCTGAATGGCGTGTTGCTGCTCCTCAATTCTCTCAGGGGCGCAAAGCTGTTTTTGCTTCCTATAATCACTGGCAATGAAAAACCGGAAGGCGTACGCTTAGTTCTTTCGCTTCGAAAAGTTGTGAGGTGGTCAATTGAGTTCTCCAATAACTAATTGCGGCAAACAACCAGACTTGAATTATTGGTTTTGAGACCCAAATAATCAAAACTGGTTTTAATGGTACTAGAGGAGAAATCTTAATGGCATCGCTTGTTTAACATTTATTCTAATCGAGACTTCTTTATGAGAGAGACGCTTTACTTCAGTTGTACGAGGGGCGGTTGCTAAGTTTGTGGCTTAAAGTACTTAAAAGCTCAAAGCTTTATTAATTTTCAATATAATCTTCATTAAGGGAAATACACTTTCAAATCCTGCATGCAATGCCATTATACCACTGAAAAAGTATTCTTCAGATTTCTCTTAAAAAAGGTTTTCTATGCCCGCTTTCATCTCACTGTCGTCTGTATGCGTTCACGTAACTTTTCTTTTACATTTGAGAAATGAAAAAATCACTGATCGCCAGGTTCGGACTGCAGTGTAGATGGTTAAGTCCAATATCTTTTACGGTATCCCTTGCAAACCCAAGGGGTGTGAGTGCGTACATTGTCTTGAAGAAAGAGCACTCCGCGCGCTAGGCTGCCACGTCTCTTCTGTACGACTGCCTTACTAGCCTGGCTTAAAAAATTAGCGTAATACTGATCGTTCGTTGTAGTTCGCTTTGGTAAGTAGTCAGTTAATAATATTTCCTTGCTACCCCAGAAAATGGTAGCATCTCGACGCCGACTTTTCCAATGTGAAACTTTTTTGATAGCCTTTCTTCTTTCTATCCACTGCATGACTCCAGTTTATGAACCCGAATTTCATCCAAATCATCTTGGCACAAATTTCTTTACATTTCTTTAGAACTCTTTAATCGTTGCTGCTTGTCGAGCCGCCTGAGCATTCGCGGTACCCAATTTTTTCATATTCAAATGCGAAATCTCTTCTACTCATTATTTGCTAATCTAAACTCCATCTGTCATCTGCCACAATTCAATTCTTCGATCAGTCAGTGCTAGTTTTTCGACTTTCTGAACACTTTCTTCGATACGGCCGTCATTGGGCGCTCTGGACGGGGATCATCTTCACAGTACTCTCTTTCTTGTTCACACAGCTGAACCGACTCTTTCACCATCGCATATGGGTATATGTAAAGCCGGAGTCCTGAAGAACAAATGCCATCTCTTTACAAATTTCTTCCGGCTTGCTGCCTTATTTATAGGGAATTTAATCACAGCGCAGTGCACTAAATTGCAAGAATTAAAGTCACAGTTTGGTGCGGTGGTATCATTGGACTGTACATCTTCAAAGATGATGCGTATCGTGGCGTAGCTGTGAATGGTGAGCGCTACGGTGATGTGATATCAAACTATGTGTGCTCACAATGCAAGAGCTTGTCTAACATGACATGTCGTTTCAACAAGACGGTGCTATATGCCACACGGCACTCGTAGCAATGGACTAATTGAGAGGCGAGTTTGGTGAACATTTTATTTCACGTTAGTGACTAGTCAATTGGCCGCCAGGATCGTGCGATTTAACGTCTTTAGACTATTTTTGGTGGGGCTGCGTTATGTCTTATGTCTATACAGACAAGTTCCCTTCAATTGAGGCAATGGAGAGCAACATTGAAGCATTTATTCGTTAGATACCGGCCGAAATGTGGGAAAGAGTATGCTAAAATTGGACTAAGCGGATGGACCATTTGAGGCGCAGTCAAGTCAAGTTTTGGATGAAGTAATCCTCAAACGTTAAATTATATGAATAGGACTATCGATTCAAATAAAGATTTCATGCATTTTTCTAAAATTTAAGTGTTTGTTTTTTTTGAAAAACTTCCCAATAGCTCTTAAAAAATCACCAATTATAATTAGCAATCAGTTGATGTTTGACCTCTTACTATATTACGTCGCTAGGTTATCAAGCGCCCCTCGTATGTGTAAAAAATGAGCTTCACATTCTCTTCACCTGCTTTGAAGAGCACAAAATTTGTGCTTTTCCAAGAGTCCATACCTGACGATTAGCGATGTATTAATTTTTGTGCTCTAGTCGGGACGCAAATCTGCAAAGATCGGACTGATATTATTTGCTACTACTAAGTTGGCTACAAAGTCTGCCGGGCGGGTTTAGTGGCATTGTGGAGAGTATGTGATTTCTACAAAATAATGTGAGTCTGAGGAAGGCATGTCTGATCAAATTAAGTTGTAAAAATCCACTTTCAAATAAAACAATCATATAATTAATTTTATAACAAATATTTCTTATTCTTATTATTTAAATTGTAAAAGTTTATATAGAATTTTAACACGATGTTGTCTGGGAATTCTTTTTTTTTGTGAGTGAAACATTTT